CTCCAGAAGGTTATCGGCGAAGTATTCAAGTCTGCGTAGATGTCATTTTTAGGCGGTTTGCTTATTTTTGGAGTTGTAAAGTCTATTTAGAAATTTGCAAATTTACTTTGCAATTGGCCATACATTACGAACGAAATTACGACCGTACTTAAAGGGCGGAAGTGGTGTAGTGACAAGTGGCGCGCTCACCCACGCGAGCGGTCCGGGATCAAATCCTGGGTCGTGAGTCGCCCGGGCCAACCAAGCCTTCCATCCCTCCGGGGTCGGTTAATTGGTACCAGAATTTGGACCAATTTATCGAGCAGCAAGAAAGTTACGGTTGGAAAAGCAGTTGGCCGAATACTTTTGAGCGCGACTGTATATTTTCAAAAGGTCATATGACAGCTTTGAAAGGCGTGCCTTAACAAGCCTTTCTTCTGCCTGAAAGGCAGTAAACTTCTATAAGATTTCAGCAGATCACTCAGTAGATCATGTTCGAGTTTCTTCTTTGTCATTTATAGTGCGAACTTTCTCTTTGATGCTTAAAGAAACAATCCACCATAAGTATTCAGAGGTTACATTATTCTCTTCGGGAGTAGAATGGAGCCGACCACTGAGCCAACATTTCCCTTTCTCGCTCGAAGGTTGCTTAAAGGACGAATTCACGCTGGAAAGGCAACCCATTTCAAATTAAGTTAGCGATGGTGAGTGGTACACTAAAGAAGGAAAAACCATGCGAAACGGCCCAGAACCTGAGAAATGGGACCACTTCCTTGCCCGTTGATTTGAGCATTGATGCGACTATCATCGCTGTGCCCTCTTCAACGCTACGCTCTCTCACCTATCTAATCACTCACCACGTATAGACCTGCGGCGAGTGATCAGATGATCGGTGGGCGTGCACTGACCAGCCGCGGCGGGATTAAACCTTAATAGGTCAACGAGGTCAACTCCTCCTGTGCAAATTGTGCTTCAGTTCGCACACTTAGGAGCTCCGCGGGTCCCTCAACCAGGTGAATTCTTCCTAATTCGATTTTCCCTCTGATCGTGAATTCGTCCTTTAATACTGGGCTTGCAGAATGAGCGCTTCATTCGCACAGCACGCACATATAAGTGGTCTGCACTTACCTTCATTTGTTGTACCCTTCGTCTTGTCCAATCGTTCTCCGATAGCTAGTGTCTGATTCAGCGCTCAGCACGTACGTGGACATTGATGAGAAGACTTTTAGTTATCTTTTCGACGGACTCTTTTTTTGCCTCTCTTTCTTCCCATACGGTCCACTTAGCGCTCCTACTTTTTTGTGTCTGTGCACAGAATCGCGATCAGTTAATTGCAAGAGAAGTGTTGTCCTAACATGGCTTATTTGTCTTGAAGGATTTCCATGTGGTCAAAGTCGTCAATGCAGTTTGTCGCACAAATAGCCAAGCTTTACAATTTCCTTTCACATTCAGAACAAGCTTTCCTGCACTATCTTCTTCGTCATAGTTCACAGGGAGAGCAAGTGCTCCCTTTGTACCGTTTACAGAGACGACGGTGTGCGGAAGATAAGGGAGCCGTACGAGCTCAAATCTTGCGATCGTGCGTTTCTCGTTCGCACCTTTACCTTACCTATAACTGCCCCTTTTTCTAATGTTACTTCTTTCTGAACTAATTAAAAAATCTTCGGCTTGGCTATAAACTTGCCCTCAGGAATAGCTTGACTCTTAATTGGCCTCCAAATGGCCTGCTTGGGGGCCCACCACGTACATATCCATGAGCAGATATGTAGTGCCTAAGTATGTATGTGAGGGGCTGCTAGCAAACTCTCCATACCGATGGAAATTGCAATAAGTGTTGATGAAGTACACGTAACTTCCTCTCAGAGAGCAGCAGAAAGGCAAACTCACTGAGGAATAGACTTTAGAGCCCCTGTATGTGTTGCCCGAATCAGCCAGTTACTGGATCGTTACGTTTCAGAACTTCATTTCAGGTATCATCTAGCAGATTTAAGAAAGACAATATTCGAGCCCGCGGCTGAGGGCGGGGCTCATTCTCATTTCTTCTTCAGAAGCAGGTGCATGCTTTTTCGGTAACTTCTAGGCGACAAGTGATTTTTCTCTGACCATCGAGACTTCATCAGGTTTTCCGTAAATTCAAAACTAAGGAAAGAGCGACAAAAAAGACAGTCTTCAAGAAATTGATCTCCAAGAGCGATTCGTCCGCTTGAAAACGGTAAGAAAACAGATCTGGGCTCTGTATTAGGGTATTTGCTTATGAGATTCTTCCATTCTTTATTTTCTACAACTTGCCAGACCTGAACTTGATTACAGAACCTTGACTTCATTTCTCGAAAATTCATGGATATGGAGGACAGTAGTGGTCGTGGCCTGGAACAGCCTCTACAAAAACTGCGCACTTTTGCGAGCGCATTCCAAAATCGTGTCCTAAAAACACCAATGATGTCTCGTTTCTTTGCGAGAATTCGTACAGCTTATCTGCACAATTTGGTTGACGCTCGATGGCAGCGCTTGGGGTAATATTTTCTATGCTTTGACTATTGACATTTATGATTGCTTTAAACATCTAACAGTCACCTGGCTGCTTTGATTTTCAGGGAAGAACTTGATAGCAAACCTTAACAGTTGTTTTTTTCTGACGCCTCTACACCAATTAATTTCAACATCTTCTGCTACTTCGTGATCTATGAACTGCTGCAGGACATTTTGTTGGAATGTCGCCCACCATTGACGTTCCTTTTTCTCCGTATTTCTCCATTTATTAATGTTGTCATTTTCCGATGTTCTCTTGTACCCCAGTATAATTAGCCTAATTGCGCAAAGGTCGGTGGTTGTCAATAGTGTCAAAATTTGGCCACTCTAGTTGAATATTGCCACTGTCTCAAGCTTTCGGTCGTTTATAAGATACCTCGTGATGGCTACAAAATATATGAGAACATGATTTAGCAAGGCTCGAAATGACATCTATGTGGCCAGCCAGGTCCTACCTACAGCATTAGAACGGCAAATGGTATGAAGATCAGTAGCTATGTAGTGATATGGTAATACAACTAGCATCAGAAAAAAATAATATTTCACCTAGTAAAACTCTTGAATTGTATTGACCAGTTTGTAGACGTAAGTGAATGGTGTCTAGTGTTATTGTGACGGATATTTCGTGCTGGAATTGGCTTCTGTTCTTGCCGTTAACGTGGCATGGGCGCCCTATCTGCTACCCATCAGCAATCTCTCCATCCGAATTATCGTTCGATTTTCAGTGTGATCACACCAGAGATTCCTGTATCCTTTTCTTATCATTCCCATACACTTCCCACCGTCGCCCTGTAACAGCTGCCATCAGTTGCAGTCATCTATGCTCCCGTCCAGCTACGAATAAATCATGGGTGCAAGCACTCCACTGCTAATACGAAAGGCGAAACGAATTTGAGAACTTTGCCCTCTGACCCCTTTGCGCTGTTCCTATACTTGGTAATTCTTGATTATCATTTGATTTTTTCCTCGCTATGTGACAGCGTATGGATGTAAACGTTCTACTGTAGACGCCAACAGCGTAACACAAAATTGATGACATTTGCATCCTATCGCTCGTTATCGATTATTATCAATCTTTATCACTTTTTATCACTCGTCGTTTCTGCTCTCCTTTATTCCTTCAAGTTTTGAGTACTCTCCGGTCAATGAGGGTAAATATGTAAATTTCCGACTAGGCAGTTAGGCATACACACACGGTTACAGTATTGTATACCATAGTGGGATGGGATAGCATGTCGTACTCCTTATTTTTTGCTTACCTTTACAGTCTTCCTTTCGCTAGCACTTTCGCCTTCTTTTTCCATGCCATTTAAATGTTATGGGCAACGAATTTGAGCTTTTTCAATTACAAACGTTCATTTCTTACAGTACCAATGCGAATTCTCACTATTTTTTCAGATGTGGTTTTTCTATGCGGGTTATCTAACCCTGAGTGTCTCTGTTATCACCATTATCATCCAATTGGCCTACATGCCACTGATCATCAGAAAAGTAGAAAGCTCACGAGATTCCAGTCCTGCAAAGCATTCGAGGTTTCAAAGTGGGTTGATTTTGTTACATATACATGCCATCGTTGATCCCTGGATGAAGGAAGGGTCAAAAATACCGACAATAGAAAAAAGGAGTAAGACTGGATTCCGATTTTCACGTGGTTCAGATAGACAGGAAATATTCTTCAAGCTCTTTTCTTTGAAAAAGTTGGCGATTGAGGAAAATTCGTGAGGTGTGCTCAAGGGACATTGATCATGAGGATAGTGAGGTTCATATGTGAGTCGAGAGGAACTAAATGGCTCACCTGTTGAGTGAAGAATGAGAAATTTGCACTATTTACCTTGTACAGCCCCAGTCCTCGAAAACTGGGGTGAGTCGCGTTTCGATCGAAATTTGTGCATGGCTGAGGATATGGCTAGAAAGAGATTTCTGGAGTATTTCGACCCGTAGAACACGAATATCGTATCGGTTTAGCGCGAGAACGTCTGCACTCGCGTCACGGCTGCCGGCATCAGAGGGCGCCAGATTACTTCGGTCAAATTTGATGAAAGCCTTTCGTCTGAAGTTTCTCGACCGTAGAACATGAACTTCAAATTCGTTGCGAGTGAGCCTAAAGTCTGCGTTACGGGCTCCTGCGCAAAATTAATGAGAGAGCATCGGCACTTGTGGCGCGGGTACCAGAAATTTTTGCGCAAAACTGATGCGAAATTCGTGTTCTACGGGATTCTCTAGGAGACAACTTTCTAGTGAAATCTTCAGTCATGGACAAATTTCGATCAAATTCCGGCTATGTTTTAGGGCAGATTCCGGCCTCCCTTTTGAGGAAGGAGGAATAATGAAAGTTCTAGGGCCTTGGAGTGCAGCAGGAGGTAAACAAAGCCGATGAATTTGCAGGAAAGTCATAAAAGTGAGGCCTCCTCCCTACAGATGATATTAATCATAGCATGGGCCAGCGGCGGCGCAATCTTCGACACCACGGCCAGTCACCAAGAGCTTGACAGATGTCGAAGACGAGGAAGCATGGAATCTATCGATACCCATGCACCGCTTACGACCTCAAAGTAAGGGCGTGAATTGCAAAGACTAGCTCCAGGATCCTGGATTGACCATGATTCTGAGCAACCTTCTGCAGCCAAAAAGGCGCACACCGCTTCTTCAAGCTTCTGAACACTTCTGAACCGGCTAGAACGCACCAGAGGTCACTCTAGAGAGCGCCAATGGATACGGAATCACTTTGGTTTTTTTGGGTGTAGCTAAGCTTCATTGAAACAGCAGCTTATTAAAACATTAGATCTAGGATCGAGGAATCTAAAATGTACAACCTGTGGCAAGTCCTAGCCGGTTTAACCGCGACGTTAAGGAACTTTCGAAAGTTTCATGAACCACGCCTACATGTCACCTCCTTCCAGCGCCCTCACCGTTTCCAAACTACCGTGGAGCAGAGGGGTGGGGGAGGGAGAGGCAGAAGGGTGTTAATTTGTCTAATAAAGCGCAAATAATCTGATTTTATCCACCCCACTCACCATTTTTAAGACTTCTATCGTAACTATCAACAAAAAAACTTCAAATCCATCTTCAAAACCCTATCCCAAATGCCCCTCAAAATGTCAACTACAACCCCTCTTGTTGGGAAATTGCCAAAGGACGGTTGGATCCCAGCATTGGATGTCATCAATCTACTATCTTCGTCCATAATACGACCCGCACCCTCTCGCTGACGATCATGAAACTGCATGAGGTGTGAATACCTAAACTCGGCCCCAGAAGAACGAAAAAGAGTAAAAATAAAAAGAAGAGGGCACAAAATAATAACAGAAATAAAAATAACTATCAGAAGCAGTTAGCGACGGAGAAGGTTAAAACTAGTGAATAAACTCCAGCCATAAAACCCATTTTCATACTCGACGTCAAGACTACCGCTTGGACTACAAGTCTAGTGCTATTTTCAGGTTCTCGAAAAGGACATATCCATCCTCATGGAATCAGCTAGCCGCGAAAAACGAGCAGTGGTGTGCGCGCCGGCAAAACGTGGTGCTCCTGGTACGACAGTGCTTTTCGGTCATCATGGCCAACTATGCTCTTGAGAACGATAATTTAACCTGCTTGAGTAACACGAAGTTTTCAACCTTTTCCGGAGTTTTGTCTGCAACCTTAATTACAGGGAAGCCTGGTAAGGATGGAAAACAGGGCAACGACGGAGCACCAGGGATACGGGGGAAGGATGCTAGAGATATCCTCGCCGAGCAGGAAGAAAAGTGTATTATTTGTCCTGCCGGTGAGATGGGACCCATGGGACCACCAGGCGATCGTGGCGAGCCTGGGGAGAAGGGATCGAAGGGCCAGTCAGGCACTCCCGCAACTGATGGCATTGACGGTTCGTTTTATGTTCTTTAGTTATTATTAGCTCAAGTGATTCGAGTCAGATTGGCCAAATTCTCCTCTTTCGCCATAGAACAAATGGACTGCGTTGTTTGGCGGTGATCATTAGTCCTCTTGAAATACGCCACGCTTTCGACTCCCATTCGGGAACGCATTATCCCAGTATAGCGCGTTCGACCTGCAATGCAACCTTTGGGGCCAAGGATTTTGAAATCAGTGTATTCATCTCTGCAGAACTGAAACCGCAAGGCCTGAACCTAGCTAGAACTTTCAACAGCACGAAGATTTGATTGAGACGGTCTTTCTGAATTATCTTCGCACCTGGTCAGAGAACATAACTATAAAACGATCAGAATGTTGTGATTATTGCGCACGAAAATGGAAGCAGGGGTGTAAAGTGGACTGGTGGTAAAGGTAAGGGAAAAAACTTATCCTGTCATAGTCGAATCGAGCGATTCGAATAGTCATGACAAGGTGCCCGCGAACTATACGCAAATTACTGAGCATAGCGATCGGAGGTATACACCGAGATGCTCGCCTCTTTGAAAAAATTTCCCGCGCGCGCACGTTCAAATATACGTAGCACTGGAGCGAGCATTCAACTAGCTAGAGTGATTGGAGGACACCGCAATTTCGTGCCTTTTCCCATATTTTGAGTTTGCTCTCCGCACTGGTACCACCGCAGGCAAGAGTATAGATATTCTAGCAGGAGAGCAGAATGAACTAGGGGATGCGGTCGTTCGCACGAGAGTACTGGTAGGAAGCGTCTTTGGATAGCAAGGTAATGAATTGGAAGCATGGGAGTTTAGGCACCACCACAAATGTACCTCTTCTTGATCCCACAAGAATCGATCATCGTTTTTCCTATCTCTTGTAGCATTGAATTGGTATTTTGCAAGACATTTTTAAGAAAATGATAAAATGTCAGTATGTTGACGCTAATCTTCGTTAAGTCCACACCGGAGGCAACTCAGAGCGATTTATCGGGGATTTTTTCACTGCAACTGCTTGGATTTTGTGCTTCCATCCAGTAAGTCGTGAGAGCAAAGCCCATCACCCTTTCAAATATCTACAGCGGTGTTTTCAAAAACTGTTCACCAGTCAGTGACCTCAGCAAAAGTAATAATACATACCTGAAACGAAAAAGCGAGGAATCATAGGAACAGTTGTGATGAACTTCCAACATAATTTTTTGACGTAAACTGCATTACGGGAAATAAGTGGACGCTACTTGACTGCCAGAGCTACTTGACTACTAATTAGTGTCTACAGGTGAAAATCAGAAGGTTGCCTTAAATTTTCACCGAACGAAGATCTGCCGATATTCATGGGTTTCAGCAATGTGCTCTCAGGAGACGGCAATATGTTGAGTGCGCAAATCGTTTTGAATACAGTGACTTATTAGTAGGAGCTCAGTCACAGCCCCCTTAAAGGCAGAGCAATATCACCAGTTTGCCTAGAATATAAGAGATGTAGTACTCATCCTCAGTGGGGCTTGTGATGGGCGAGAACGGCAGCATGCGACACACTGCATTAGGGTTATGGAAACGCTCAGTTTTAGGACTGAGCCTCAAAGGAGAAGAGTGGCTCCGAAGTGCGTGAGCAACCTTTCTCTCTCCAAAATCGTCTCCCTCCGTAGCTCAGTTCCAGAAACCTCCTACAGACTGCACTCTCCCCCGTCCTCCCCCGCTTTGTAGTTACAAAAGAGCATTACCTAACGAAGAAGACAAACGCTGACTCTTAAGAAATATCCTTTTGAGGAAGTTAATCCTTCATTGTGAACCACATCTACCTCTACAAGTCGCATTCCTTCAGGATTTCCGTAGTGACTCTAACACCAGTATAGCTGGGAGAAAGCTCGCCCCAGTGCGACATCTGTTTAAACGAGCGCGCGCGGAAAGTTTTTCAAAGAGGCAGCATGCTCGAACACCTACCTCCCGTTTAAGGGCAATGGTCAACCGGAAGGCTTGGTGATTCAGTGTTTTGTAGTGTTCTCTGGGACTCTCGCACATACACACTATTACAGCATCTCTGCTTTCTTTCCCTCCTTCGAAAGGCTTAGTCCCAGCAAGTGCTTTTCTGTCTGGACTCGCACACGTTGGTTGACCGCTGCCCCGTAACCAATACCTCCGATCGAGGAAGCTAACCAGACAGATTGTCCGCGTGCAGCGTGTATTCACACCACTTACTTCGCGCGCGCGCTACCGTATCCGAGCTCGTATGAAAGTCACGGACACACACTCTCTCTTCCCACTTTCGTTTTCTCTGCGCTCTCTCATGGGGGAGAGAATGCGTCGAGCAACCCCGCGCACTGCATGCGTGGTGGGCCGCTGAACTCGCCGCGCGCGTGCTTGGGCGGCATGTTGGAGTTTACCTCCCTTGCCCTGCGCGCGAAGCGCGCGCGGCGTCGGTCTCGCCGCGGCAGCGGCGAGGCCGACGCCGCAACGCTTCTCCCATTTTTGTATGCAGCGTGTATTCACACCACTTGCGCTGCAAGTGGTGTGAATACACGCTGCAGCCGGACAATCCTGTCCGGTTAGCTTACCTCGCACAACTATGACTCTATTCGCAAAATACATATGACTGGATCCGAGCGTTGCGCCAGCGAGTCGAATTTGTACCAGCGACTCGATACTGTTTGAGAGAGGCGGGACCCAGACGTTGCAAGAGAATTCCAGCGCCTGCCTCCCCCCACTTGTCGCCCTTTGGGCGGCACGGCGAGCGGTCGGTGCTAACTTAGTTGGGGGGGGGCACGCGGCGGCGCGGCAGTCTGCTCACCTGGGCTCTCTCGAGCGAGACAGTGTAAACTCGAACATTCCAGCTTTTCACGCATGTCAAGTGACTGCCCCCACCCCCACCCCCTAGACTGCCTACACTCCCCCCTGGCCCACGGATTTCCGAACATGCCAGGCGAGCAGACTGCCGCGCCGCCGCGTGCCCCCCCCCCAACTAAGTTAGCACCCGCGGATAACTTCGTAGAGCCCCGCCGAACTTGCACGGCTAGCTTGAAACCACTCCACCAGCACAGTTCGCGGGCACTACCTCGGCCGCACTCGCCGCGGCTGCGCCACAAATCGTGAAGAAAGTGGGGGAGCCGAGGTCTACTTTAAGGGACTACATGTTTGAATGTGGCGGGCCTTCCTTTGAACGTTGGGTCCCGCCACTTTCAAACAGTGTCGCATCGTTCGATTCGCTGGTGCATCGGTCGATTCGCTGGCGTAAGAGTCCGATGTAGTGCAAACGTTCTATCGCTGGCAAACGCTTGATCCAGAGAACCGCTCCATTCGCAAACTATGACGACGGGCCTTCCACGAGCTGTGACAGTGTTGCGTTTAAGATGATGCAGCGTAGATGGAGGTCCTGGTCCATTTGAATAGATTGGCTCCCAGACAATACCTAACCATTTGGGCGCGGGTGCCCGCGAACCGTTGAAAACGCACTCGAGGTGTCTAGTTTAGTTCAGTTAGACAAACAGTAAACAACATAGCGGTGGTGTGTGTCATGACCTAATATCTGCCTGGCAGAAGCTGGGAGCTATTCTTCCACAATTCTGCGGGTGGTGCCACGAAAGACTCGATCGGTTCCGATTTGACATGCTTTGAACCTCCAAGAATCTTCCATGGCGAATGATTCTCGAGAATCAGACAATCCATCTGGAGGTAGTAAGGCATCAAGTCGAAGCACTGCGGAGAGCAGGACACCGTAGTCTACCCTAGATCCTGCAGGATGGTGGATTACACATAGTAAACAAGGGTTGGGCCAGAGTCAACCCTGCGTTGCGCAGTTCTCAACGGCCACGTTGCGCAGTTTCGCCCGATTAGACACGTTCTCTCGCGCGAACATTCACACTCGCATGCTCGAGCCGTCTGCGTCTCCGCCCATACAGCGTGCGTTGAGGATCTCTCAACGTGCCGTTGCGAACTGCGCAACGCAGGGTTGACTCTGGTTGGGGTTCTGGGTGGGACAGTTTACCTTCACCACTTATTAC